ACATCAACCGATGAAACTTTTGCATTCGCTGGTGTCACTATGGTCATTCATGAAATGGGGGATAGACATAGTCGGTCCCTTAATATAAGAACCTTACCAGGTTTCAGCTCTAATCAATAAAGGTTCATATGAATTGAAAATCAAGATGGAGTTAAATTGTCAAGCAATTGGAACGTGACTCGCTTGAAAAGGTATTGTTGCTAAAGATCCTTGTTGGGACTGAAAGTATGTGCTGCACTCTTTTTATTTTCGTCTCGTTTTTGTCCCAATTAGATTTTTCTGGCAAAGTATTTAGTGAGGTAGCAATGTCAAACATAATATGAAGAAAGGGTCATTGGCAAAAACAAGACTTCTAGTGTTCAAATTCCTATACGTAGCATCCGAAAACTGGGGGAGGGGTGAACCATTCTGTGTGAAGACACTAAAAGTGTTACAAAGACCGAGGACTCTTGGAACCGAGAGCAATGCCTTATCAGGACCGGGGATTACATGATCAGCCCTGTAAAAATAAATTGTATAAGTTAGCCACGTGTATTGGAAGCTTTATTTACTTAAGCAAAAGAATGTTTATGTAAATTTACTTTTAAAGATAGAGAGAATAAATCAAAGTCCTTTTATTTTTTCTCTTATTTCTTGTCCGAATGATAAGTTAATTTACTTTATCATTTGAAAGTTAGTTAAAAAAATTCAAATGCTTGTGTCGGAATGAACATGAGACGTCCTCTGCAAGAGCACCGTAAACATAATGGCCTTCCCTTATGAAATCTCATAGTCAAAGGTAGATGCGGAAGTATTTATGCCCGGAGTCAAAAGCTATCGGATGTGAAAAAATTCCAGAAGCTTTGTCAGTTAAATGAAAAAGAATTTTTTTTGCACAACACTTAAGCAAAGAATTTCTTTCATTAATTGAAATGCCAAACTCAATAAAGAAGTGTTGGCATAGTTAAAAAAGAAAAATATGTACATTAATTCTTGCTGCCAGAACCTGAAGGGAGAGAAGAGTCTTCGTTTTCTTTATTGGAAGAAAGTTGTTCCGCTTCCGGATCAGGGCATTCATCTTTATCACCATCTTCTTCAGCTTCCTCTTCAGTTTTCTCTTCAGTTCCCGAATACTCGGAGTTAGTACTTGAGGAGTCAGAAGCAACGGGCTGAGCTGGGAGGTTCTTAAGAGCGATTGTCTCAAGTTCATAAGCTTTGGCAATGCAGTCATCAATAATTGCAATGCCTTCTTTGGCCTCCTCCAAAGTCTCCCTCTTTGTACGATATATGGCATAGGTTATCTCGAAGAGCATCGAATCTTCCTAGTCTTGTGTTTAACTCAGAGTTTTACAATCATGAATTAGAGCTTTTTATTTTTAGCTTTCATAATGCTGATTTTGAAATCAAACTCAACATTGGTGGTCAAATGAAGTTGATTTTGCTCCATGACCCTTTTGAGCCTTTCTTCCCTTCTTGCTCTCTTTTCCTCGGCAGGATTAGCCTCCTCGGTTTTGGAGCGTAAGCTAGCCTTCAAGTTGTTGACTTGCACCTTGAAATTAGACTCGCGCTCAGCAGCAGCAGTCACGGTATCGTGCAGTTTAGCCCACCTAGCCTTTGCATCCTTAAGATCTTCATGTCATTGAGCGGCTTCTTGGCTGTAGTCCATTCTATCTTGCTCGGATTGCAGAAACCAAGCCTAGAGATCATCTATTTGAGAAATTTTTTCCTCCAGCATCGAGAGGCGCTCGGCAAATTGATTCGGTTCGGTTAAAAGCTGATCTTGTTCCGAAGTAAGTTCGTGCTTGTCCACAATCAACCTTAGAGTCAAAGTTATTAATGTGAAGTATAAATGAAAAAGAAGGGATTGAAGGAGGTTAGATTGATACTTGCGACGAACAGTGCATGCTATTGTTTAGCAGACACTCACCGGAGAAAGAGTCCATCTTTCTCCAATCTTTTTCTATAGCCGGCGGTTTTAGGTATGTAGCAAGCTCCACCAACTTGGAGAGTATGTGGAACTCATTTGAAACCGCGAAGGTGACATTTTATTTGCCACTAAGGTTTTGACTGGGGTGCTGGGTAAGTGTTCCCCAGAGTTCCATGGTCAGATGACCGTGGTAAAGAAATGTTTATTGTTTGTTCAGTTAGGGTCGATGGAGAAGAAGTTGTTGGTGTAGATGGAATGTGGTTGCCACAGTTTCAGAAGTTGATGGCGGAGGAAAGTCAGGGGTTGAACTCCTTTGACCGGAAGCAACTATGGGGATTCAAAAACGAGACGAAGCATTTTCGACCAATCCCATTTCCCCGAAGAGTCCTTGAGCTTCATCTGGTTGTCGAGTTTGAAGCTCACCCAACTGAGCAACTGGTTGAGCTGATGAAGATCTTTTTCTTCTCTGAAGGGGAGCCTCTTCATCATAGGTTCCTTCATCATCAAGGACCACTGCGGCCGATCCGATTGGTATTTCTTTCAATCTCTTTTCCTGATTCTCAGCCGAGGAAAAACGTTCACTTTGATTTTTTATCTTTGGGCTGGGGATTCCGAGAGGAGGTGCCATCACTGGAAGCAAGAGTAGATCCTCGAGCTCTCCTCCGTTTAAGGGAAGTTTGCAACACTCGTTGAGCTTCCTCCAGGTCATCGAGAGCCTCGATGTCGGGGCAAATAACAGATCTCTTCGGAAGTCCTGTGTGGTACCAAAAGATAGTTAACAAATTGTTTCTAAGTTGTGTTAAAAGATTAAAAGAATGGAGGAAGAGCTTTTGTTTATCATGATTTTTTGCTTTTTACCCAAATCTGGGAGCCATTTCTTTCCACCTTCTTGATTTCGGTGTAGTGATATCCAACATTTTTTGTACAACTTAGAAACAATTTGTTAACGAGGGAGGAAGGTTTTTTTTTAAAATAGAAAGGAAAAGATATCAAAAGACTTACGAAGAAGATTCCATGATTCAGGAAAAGCAGGTGATTTGGTCAGGATGATGTCCTTGGTAGCAATGACAACGAACCGTTCCATCCATCCATGGTCGTTGTCGTCGTCAACGCTGATAAGGAGCGCATGATGTGCATTTGCTAAGTTTTAGCACACCCTATGGAAGATCTTTGGGAAGTAGAGGTTCATCATGAGTGCAAGAGTTAGGGTTTTTCCGGTCTCAGAGCAGAATTGATAGAGGCAAGCTATCGTACGCCATATTGATGGGCCTGCTTGTGCCAAATAGATTTGGTATCGGTGGCAGAATTCTAAGATTATTGGGTCGATTCCTTGACCCACTCCTAAAGTGAAAGGATATATATAAACATATAAGAACCCTAGTTTGGAAAAGATGACCCTTTCCACCTCATTAGGGTGAAGATTTCAATGTTGTTCCAATTGCAATCCTCATTCACGATAGGGATGCTAGGAGGACGAACCGAAGAAGGATAACTACGAGCAGGCCAGAGTCAGTAGCTTTTGGGGTTAACGGATTCTTTTTGTTCTTGAAGGTCGGATTTGGTGCTAAGATGAAGGGATATGATGGAGTTCACGTTAGGAGGTTCAGACTCGACTTCAACTTCTTTTGTTTTGTTCTTGTTAGGGCTACCTCCGAAGAAAAGACTGGTGTTTTCAGAGACAAAGGTATGAGAAAACATGATGGTGAAAAGTTTGAGAAGGAAGATATTACTGAGAAAATAGAATTTTACAGTAGAGTTCTAAGAAGATTCAAAGAGGAAGTAAGGTTTGTAAAAGTGAAAGGTGAAAGTAATGAGTAGTGGAGATGTTTATAGACGGCAAAAATCGTGTTCATGATTACCTCGAAAACTGGCAGAAATATTTGCTGAATCACAGGATAACAAGTGTTCGGGTCATTAAATATGAGGAGACGTCCGTCCTTTCGAGTGTCAAAAATCGTTCAGGAACTTTCCCGCCAAGAAAAGAGTTCTTATCTACTTCCCGGTAATACTAAGTTGCGTCATCGAAATGTATGAGGATTATCTATATGGGGCAAAATTGGTTAGCGACAGTTGGACGTATGGTGAAGTGACACGTGAAACTGAAAACATGTAGGATATGAGTCAGCAAATAGTTGACATCGGATGTAAGCATGTGACAGGTGATGAGTGAATCCCGAAGGCATCAAATTCGATAGCAAAGATTTAATGGTAAGACGTCAGTTGGAAAAGATAGCAATTAATGGGCAGCCGTTACAAGGAATCTCTATATTTATGATCAACCGCTATGCAATCATCAATGGCGTTTTTATTCTCATTCAAGAGGAGCTTAATTTGGGGATCTTGTCTATCTAAATAGAGCTATAAATAGAGAATTAGGATCCATTGTAAAAGGCACGAAACATTCTGTATTAAAAGGCTTGAATCAGCTCTCATTCTAAAACATTATTGTTGTACTCTGTTCTTAAGATTGTTCTCGCTTATGCTACCGGAGAAGCTAATTTCATAAGCGAGGCTTGTGTTTCCTTTAAACTTATTTTATAATCTCATTTTCCTATTTATTTTATATTTCTGGGTCAAAATAATTTACGTGTCTATAAACCACATTACAAATTCAATCGGTTTTACGAGTGAACAATTACTAAAAAAGGGAGGTGGGGTGGTAGAAACTTTCCAAGTACAAGAATTTAACCGTGATAAAAATAAAAAATAAAAAACCATCCCTTGCGCGATTTTAAGTACCAAATACGCTGCAATAAATATGCTATTACATTTTAAGATAAAATATGCTTCTTTATTGTTCTAAAAGAGAATAGCACCAATTTGAATGAAAGAATATGATTATATATGAAAATAGAATAACTCCCTTTCTGTTTTTTGGTTTTCACATTGACACTTTTCTCTTAAATAGAAGGAATAAAATAATTGGATAAAATGCACTAGCAGTTCTTTTAAAAGATCATCTGTAGCTTTGCTAACACAATATTGAGTCCATTAGCCGATTAGCATATATCAGTCTGAATAAAGTTGAAGATTCCACCAAGTCTAAGATGAAATTTTGTTACGTTAAAAGAAGATTTTAACAAAATAGAAAGAGAAAACAAAATCTTTTCGTAATCATCTTCATTAAAAAAAAAAAAAATTCTATCTTTATGCTGTCAAATACAAATTACAATATGATCTGTCCAGAATTTAATCAGAGTACTGTGTCCTAGCTAAAGAACAGAGAGAATATTACAGGGGAAAAAAAGAATAATCAACTATACAACTTCACAAGGAAACAAATAGTACTCTTGTAAAGATTCATCAAATTCATTTCCATCCCATCGCAGTTTCTAACTACGACGGGCTCTCCAAAAGTGCTACCACACCCGTACCGGATCCTCCAAATATTTTGCATTTTTGAGGATCCGACATGGGTGTGGCGCCATTTTTAAAGATCAGAGCAACAAAGCTCAATCTGAACATGCCCGAGTTGTGGAAAATGCTTGAACTCGCGACAACAATAACTACGCCTCAATAACCAAAATATCCTTGAGCTTATGAATCTCTTAAACTCTTACTGGCAATCCATAGTTGTGAAATGTCCGAATCTTTCCATCCCAACCAGCTGTCACGACGACAAGGCCCAATGCTGGGGATAATGCTCTGTAGTTACGGCTTTTGTTGTGCTGTTGCTGTCGATAAACATGATCATCGTGATAAGTTGAATGGTGTTCATCATTTTCAGCACTGGGTACATTGTATGGAAGAAGCATTTCCTCTGGCCATGTTACAGAACCCCTAGATGATACATCCATAGTAAACCAATTTCCTACAGAAAATCGGCTTGAATCCCTTGTCGTAGAAGAAACCTCTTGACGTTCACTTAACAGAGAATCAAAATTGGAACTACCATCTGCTGTTGGTGCCTGCCCTGACCATGGTATTGCAACAGAAACGCCTTTGGAGTGGAAATGCTCACACGACCGTACAGATTTGGTTTGTTTGGACGCTTGGATGCTTATGTCATTATAGCCCCAAAGATATACGTGCGAGTCCTCTCCAACTGATACTATGTGTTTCCCGGTTGAGGTAAACGTGGCAGATGTGTGGCTTCCTGATTTTGATAGACCTGTTATATAAAACCATATACGCATTAGGAGTGAGCCACAATATAAATGAGATGTAAGATTTTTCGCAGGAAGGATTTACGAATCAAAGCATCGTATACCTTTATATTTATGTACAACCGCGACCCCATCAAGAATACGGATTTTGGAATCCTCGGATGTAATCATAACTCTTTGAGAGTCATTTTCGAAAAACTGCAAGAAATAGCCTTGTGTCAAAGACTACTAACAGTAATGTGCTAAAATAAGTTGAGTCAAGAGTTTCTAAGAGTAATACCTGAATGCCTGTAATTCTGCTGCCAGAGGATTTCTTCTTACTATGAAGATGTATTTGTGTGTTCAGGGAAAGTACACTTTCATCGTTTACTTCATAGAAGCGGCAAGTACCAGAGATACATCCAACTATAAAGCCCTGCTTCATTGATGTTGAAAAATATAGGTCAGTTTCCTGAGTAGGGGGAATAGTAGCGATCGTAGTAATTATGAATCAACCAAAGTAACACATACCTTGCCATTTGGTTGATACGCTATAGCAGTCGCAATGTCATGCACATCGGCCCATTCCACAACTCGCTTTTGTGGAACTCCCCAAATACGAACTTTTCCATCTATGGAGCCACTGATGAAGATGTTCTCGTTAACAGGATTGAATTGGATGCATGTCACTGATCACATTCAAATGAAACTCAAATTAAACTTCTTGACAAATTAACAACATAGTGAAATTGCAAAACATCTAACAAACAGTTATATAGAATAAGATTTTAAACCATTCAAATTAAAGCTTCGGATATTTACCGTAGTTTTTGTGATGAAATACTCCATGACATCCATCCGAACCAACTTCCCATAGACGAACAGTTTTATCTTTGGATGATGATAGAAGACACTGCATTTAAGTATTCCATTCAGTTTCATGGCAAGTAAATAAGTGATGCCAAAAGCAGTTAAAAGATGACTCACGTTAGACGAGGACCAAGCAAGGTCCAATATGCCAGCAGTGTGGCCATGAAACTCATGCAGCGGTGACTCGTCAATCTTGAATACCTTCTCAGGAACAATAACAGGAGCGTAACAAGACTTATTCTTTTTATGCCCAAGCTTGCCTTTGATGCGGTGACTGCTGAAATTGAACTCAGGTGATTCACATGATGAATCGACAGTGACCAGCCAAATTCGAACAACCCCATCTTCACCACCACTTGCCAAATATTTCCCATCTGGACTAAACTTCATTGTCCAAATTAGGCCACTGTGAGCATTAATTTCTTGTCCACAGTAAACAGCGCTGAACTCCTTAAACTTTTTCCTGTTCAGATGCACTTCCATTGGAGTTACCTTCTGCTTTTCGGTGAATACCTTAGATACATCAGTTGATTGACTTTTCCTCATCTTTTGGCTAAATTGTTTCCACCACTTCTTCTTCATTTTCTGGTTTTTCAACTTACTATCCCCACCGTGAGTGGGGTCGGAAGTGGCATCAAAACAAGTATGTTCTCCCTCAGGAGAATGCTCAGTGCAACCACTACTTGAAACTTCAACAACATCATGAAACCAAGTCTGATCTAATTCATCGGCAGACGAATTTGCACTACCACTGGATTCCCTTTCATTACACATAAAATCTTCCGCTGAAGCAGAACCACAGACTGCACCACTACTTTCGGTAATCCTATTCAGTCCCATTGAATCAGATTCAGAGACTGCAGTAGGTAGGCAGTCAAATTCAACAAACCCCATTTCGTGCAAAAAGTTCTCTCGTCGTTTCTTCACGCTTTCTGGCTCCTCCAACCATAAATCATACCCCGACTGCTTTTCTACAAAAGCATGTTCTTCTACCAACAGTGACTCAACAGAATCAAAGAAAACTTCTTCTACTTCATTTAAACTCTGGATTTCTTGCATTGTTTTCAATATCAGAATTCCACATCAAACTCCCAATTAGCCTCTCACCACTTACTCTTTAAATACCTCAGGCTAATACCCGAGTTTTAGGACCGAGTTTCACTCGCTATATAATTAAAAAAACTTAAAATGTAACCTAGATATGCAAATTCCACTTAAGATGTGGGTATTAAAAAATTAGCACACCATGTCTCCATACAAGGTACCAATCATCAAACACTATACAAAAACCAGAGTGGCAACTAGTTTTGTTTCAAGCTAGAAGCTTCATTGTTCACACACTAAACTCACTAAACAAAAGATCAAGAACCTTTTGGTGTGTTGTATTAAAGGAATTGTTTTTGTACCTTAAGTTCCTCTTAAGGCATCAGAATAATCCCAACAAGTTTCACCGTCCTGCCGATGATTGAGGCCACTGTACCATTGAACCTCCAAATGGTCAACTACTTAACAATATAATAACAAACTCAAACAACACTTCTTCTCTTCAAATTCTTTGTATTCACCCAAGTAATGTTTGCACCAAACTTAAAAACAATGCACGTACAAGAGTAAATGGCGGATTAAGGAAAGGTGAAAATGCTTATATAATTTCACCAATCATAACTCTCAATTATAGCCTTGTAATCAATCTTTAAGACCCCCCTCGTATAGCTGTGGCTCCTTTAATTCAAGACTTCAACTTTGAGCTTAAAACTGTGAAAAACAACAAAACCCATTTCAGATAACTCAAAAACAGAGCAAAAAATTAACTGAAACAAAATCCCATTTCACTAAAACTACAAAAACAATAAGAATAAGTTAACCCCTTTAAGCAAAACCCAGTTCAATAAAAATCATAATTCATTAAAAAGGAACCTATGTTACGAAAAAACTAAACATTTTAAGTAGAACCCAATTTAGATAACTCAAAATTCAAGAAAACATAGCCCATTTTCACAAAACTCAAATAAATGAGGGAAAAAAAAACCCAAAAAAGTCACAAAAACAAGTATTATTCCTGATCCTATTTCAAGAAAATAACTTTTTCATTTTTTTCCCTCAAGAGAAAAGAGAACTTTTCCAACAAAAACTGATTACAAAAACAAGAAAGCGGATAGAAAAGAGACAGGTAACATACAGGCTGTTGTTTCGCTATAAATGAAAGACGATTCTTGTTTCAAAAACTGTACTACAACTAGTCAATATAGAGTAGTGAAGTTGGGCATAGTAGTAGCTGTTATCTATCAAGAAAGAGAAAGCGATTGCTCAGTTTACCCCTCTCCAATGGAGATTTTATATTTATATATAGGAAATGGAAAGGTTCAGATTTTACACTAGTATAATAGAAATTCTTTTTCTTCTTTCTTTTTTTACAACAATGGATAATAAGGCTTGCTTGAAATGTTAAGATAATATATCGTAAAAACAGCTTACTTTATATAGTACATAGATGTTTGAACAATATTTGGTTAAAGTTAAATAAAAGATTATTTAAAGTTAAAAAGTATATTTGAAAACTGAAATATGCATAACGCTTTGTATTCTAAGAAGCTAAAATTTCACATACACTATTGTATTGTAGTTATAATAACAAGTTAACAACAAACCCGGTCACGGGTCAAGTGGTTTTATGGCTCTTTAAATTTAGTTTTATGATCCTATCTCTTTTTTCACATATGTGAGATTTACTTTTACATGTAAGAAATCTGTCTTTTACACGTAAGAGATTTAAAAAGGTCATTTTTTTAATTTTAAAATTGTAAAGGGGCATTGATATACAAATAGCTTGGGGTTGACGACATGAATCATTATTCATTTCATTAGCTTAACTCATCATCATCATTAACAAAATACAATAAGATATATGGAGTACTTCTTATCGTGATAAATTAGTATGTTTTGATTTAAACATGATACAAGCAAATTAATATTTTTAGCCTCATAATCAGTGACCTAAATTCAAACGATGAGAACACTATATATTTTTTAGTTACAAGATAAATATTTTATGAAAATTTATTGAAGAATATAACTTGTAATTCCATTACAATTTTTGATTTTCGAGCTACATAAGTTAAAATTTGAACAACTTTTTGGTTGTTTTTTATGAATGAATAATGCTCGGATTTCCGAATAATTAGGAATAAAGTTCGGCCATATAATCGAAAATGATAGCATAAATACAGATTGTTTTGTGGAGACTATCTTGGCTTGATCTACCCCCCCCCCCCCCTCAATCAACCACAAACTCCATTATTTCCAAATGTCAGAGAATTTTGTGCAACACAAGTGTTGTACGATACGGTAGAACCATAGTACTTGATGTGGCACGAAGAAATTTGTTTGTCCCATTATTGATTCCATTATTTTAAACTTTGGATTCTTCAATTGGAACTTTTATATTGGCGTATATGATTGAGCAACGCACAAATGGAAGTAACTTTATATTCGTTAGGCATTATTGAAACAGTTTATATGTTACTTTTTCTCTTCGAACATATCTAATTATCTGTTTTTTTTTAGGTAATAACATATCTAACTATCTAAAATCAAGGGAATAAAGAAGTCATTCTTATATCTTTTTTCTTTAATCTATTTTTGATAGAAAAATGGAAAAGTATTGCAAGAAAATTCTAGGCCTATACGATTATCTTTAGATATGCATTAATTTCGTGTTTCATTTGTTTTGATTTTTCACTTTTTGAATAATTAATTCTTATATTTAGCGAGTTTTACTGGCACAATTTAATCTCAACCGTTCATTAATAAATTTAATTTTTAGTCGATAGAAAGGTTCCATGAAATTAAAAGGATTGGTGCCCACTCCAGCCAACAGATATAAGGATTGTGGGGAACGCTTTTGGCCTCACACTTTCGTTTTCCAAGCTTCCACGTTTCTCATAATCTTGGAAATATTTATTCGCACTTGATGTATATATAAAATAAAATATTTTAGTTTTAAGAGTTCTATACTAAAATCAAATATAATAATTGCAACAATGGTTTCAGAGTGTGGTATCAGCACTTGTGCTCATTCTCCTGAAATTACAACAATGGTTTGATGAAGGTCATAAAGAGAAGCAGGTCATTCAAGGCTCAGCAACCACTTTCCAGTATGCTATTCACATAACATTCATGATAAACGTACTGGGGAATGTCCCTTGGTTCAACACAAATCACACCACCCAGGCCTTTCACCATAGTAGCACACCTCTTTTCTACACTATTCACCACAACTGACCTCCAGATACTCACCATCTGCAGGAGAATCTTCTCCAAAAAGAAAGGAAATAGCTGAAAATCACAGTTCTCAGATGGCTTACCACCCAGTTTTTCTTTCTCCTTTCTTTTCATACTCCTACACCCCACAAGAACCTAGGAGACCCCCTCCTCTTTTGGCATCTCAACTATGTACACCCCATTGAATTTTTCAAACAAAACAGNTTTATTCGAGTTTTTCCCCCTATTTCGATTCGGAATACCCTTTCCCTGTTATGTTTTCATATAGATTTGCCTAACTGTCTCTATCGATCATGAGCACTCTTATTACCGTAAATCTCTCCCGAGTAATCACGATAATTTACTAGACGCACTCCCCGAGTTACGCTAGCTGGCTTTTATTACAGCTCACTTTAGATTGCACCCAAGGCTTCGTTATCCCTAATTCCGCCTTTAAACCCTCAGTTATTGATCCCTCATATACTTTGGGAGTGGTGTTGTTCAACAATTACCTAAATATGCACTCTCTCCCGAGTAATACATACTAAATAGGCACAGCTAATTGAGGATCCTATCAATTAACTACAACAAGAACATAGTTGAACAAATAGAAAATAAACCGGGCAAACTATAATAACATAACACGAAGTTCATCCTTCAATAGGTTCCATCAAAACCCTAGACAAAGTATTTAGCTACTCATAACAAAGCAAGATGAAATCACTAAAGTATTCATAATGTGCAAAATAAGATAACAAAGAGAAGATTGAAAAACTCTAATGGTTGATTGCTCTTCTCACACTTGTTCTTGCCTCCAATTCAGTCTAATAACAAGCTTAACCTTTGCTTGGGCGAGTTTGTTGAGTTTATAAAGGGTTAGGATAAGTTTCCCCGATTTACACTCTAGTCCCAAAATTTCTGGGTAGTTACACAGTCGACCGCGGTCGCGGCAGAACGCGGCGCGACCGCGGTGAAACACAACTATTCTGCCGCACTTGCTTGGCCTGCCGCGGTCCAGCCGCGGTCGCGGTGGCACCTTGCTCAGTCCTCCTTTGCCTCTTTCTTGCTTATTTTCGTTTGGGTTTTTCTTGATTGGCCTTTTATCCACATTATTGACTCCAAAACACTCTATCGTCTCTTTCTAACTTGGACTAGTCCCTGCAAAGCAAAAGAACACCAATTAGAGTATTTTGTTATCATTTAGCCTTTAAAACAACAATAAAGTATGATACATTTGAAGTGTAAATAGCGTCTATATAACCTATTATCATCTTCGTGGAGCAATTAATATTTGAGATGCAAAGGAAGACGTCTCTGACTCTTGAGCAAACTGATATGTAAGAGATCATTCAATCCTTTGTCTACTCTAAGTAGCACTAAAATAATAATTGAAAACCTAACTTTGAAAGAAATATCAAAATCTTTTTTGTAATGATACAGAATTATTTTTAACTTAAAAACCTTTTTAAAATTGTATAATAGAATCTTTAGTAGGATGGAGACAACTTAGGATATCCCGTAATAAAAGGACGGGGCTAGTGAAAGTCAACAATGGCATGATAATTTGTTAAGTTAGTATAGTTTTAAGATATTTTGTCTTATTTATCTTCGTTTAAAATTTATTGGGCTAGCTTCCGTACCCACCTTTAAAGAGGCCGACCCTAAATTGTATTTATCCGGATTCAACCTGTACAGTACTATCTTCCATTTGGCTTTCCTTGACCTCAATGTCAAAGCTAAATGGAAGATAGTCCAGCTCTTTGAATTGGATTATGTACCATTCTTCATTAATCTTTCCTACATGAATATGAATATGGAAGAAAACTTTACATCTCTCTTGCTTACCATTCATAGGTTTACGAGTACTTTTTGTATAGTTGACCAAGGCTTAACAAAACTGTTTTTTGTATCATCAATTGACTATCCTTTTTTGAATAGACAATTGGTCCATCCTTATAGGTGTAACCTACCATAATGTTAGAGTGCATCTTGGTTACCATATGTGGTTGACCGAATGTATTTCCATCTTTATTGTGGAGGTAAGGTTCAGGTCCCCCTCCACCTTTGTTGTAATATATATTTTATCTATGAAATAAAAAAAATATTAAAGAAAAAAAAAAAAAAAAAAACTTGTACAGTACGTACTACTCCATAGCAAGCTGAGTAGGTACGTGTACATTGGGCAGTGCATCATCTTCGTAGTGCCGTACTGTACAAGTTGATATATGATTGATTATTCACTGTTCCCTATACTATATCCAAGCTTTCAATATTCACAGTTCCCTATACTACTCCATAGTTTTGACTTTTGAATGAGAATTATATTAAATTAGAGGATATTCCCTCCGACTCATATTTCTTATAGAAAATTAATTGAGATTTTGACTACTTTACTCTTATTCATGTTTAATTTTAATCTTTCTTTGATATTGAATATTTTCTCAATTTATGTGTTCATTAATCACATTATCCAAATTTTTACTACATGTGAATGCAAATGAACGATTTACTCTTATAGGATATCTTAACAGACACCTAGGATAAACTAAATTAACAAATTTGAAGAATCACTAAAATCAACACTTCCGACAGATATTGCATGAAACGGAATTTAATTATTCTTTCCTTCAGAATCTTTACAGTTAAATATTTTTTTAGTTAGCCTCTGTTTGAATCTGTCGTACTTGTTTGCTAAATACTCCAAGGATAAGCATTGGAGATGCTCAATGGCATGATAAATGTAGTGCTTCAGCGACTCCACAAATTCTTGAAGGGTTGGATTTTGGAGTACCCCATTCCACACATCAGTGTTTCAAAAAATTGAAACAACCCTGGGGATGCAGAAATATGAAATGAGCATTAGCTTTTTATATCAAATTGAACATATTCAT